CATAAATAGCTTATAATGATTTTCATGAGGAGAGAATACAATTCAAATTGATTGTAAAAATAGTCAATTAATATGACTGTATTGCTGAAATTAACAATGTACAGATTTATCCTACTGCTGATGAATTCTTATAATGGTAAGTATCATAAAATTTATTTGATATTGTTTCTCTTAGATATAGTTTAGAACAAGAATAATCCGATTTTTCATTTGTTTAATAAATTTAATAAATTGGAGAATCAATAAATCATTTCTAAAGTAAAATTTAAAAATAAATAAAATTAGCTGCAACATATATAATATCTTCAAAAGCAAAGCTAACCAAAAATAGATTATGGTCAAATTAATTTGGATTTCTAAATAAAAATGGTTCTAAATGTTCCATTTTTTTTACAAATAAGTGAGTTAAAAAATTTATATTAGTACCAACATATATGGCCCTGCGTCATTAAATTAAGTTTTTGATATCGAAATGCCTGAGAGAAATGCTGATTGCATTGATTTTGTTTTATTGTCAACTAATACTTTTATTACTGATTTACAATACTTAAATTAACTTTGATATCAAGTAAAGTCATTAAGTGATTAAATCAATATGAGATTAGAAAGGATTTAAGTTTGAGCTTTGGATAAAGTGACAAACTTGAAAACCAAACCTTAACAATAACCTTTTCTAATGATTACAGATCTATTTCTAAATAAACTAAATTAAATATCAAACCAGATAATGAAGGATCAAGTTTTAAAGCTTGGTAGATAATACTAATTTTAGTTGGATGCTTATTTTTTGTTTTTTAGGATTTCTTTGTTATAAAAAGACGAGAAATGAGGAAGAAGTTTAGGAAACAAGGCTAATACATATTAATTGAGAAAATCATTTACAAAATTATTGTAACATTAATTTATTTGTTTATAATATTCTAAATATACTGTTTTCGCCAAATATTAATTAAGATTCACTCATAATTAAAAAGAATGAATTTTTAATTGATAAACACCTTTTCAGTAAATTCATTTTTATGCTTAAGTTCTAAGATCTGACTGAGATTAATTGCTACCAAAATAATCTGATTGAAGTTCGAACACATCATAAATTTATGATGTGAGATAATATACAGTTATCATTTGAAAGTATAAAAAAATACCAAAAAAAAAGTTTACTATGGTCTAAATATAAATATACATTAGCTTCTGGTAGTGGTGATAAGTCTCCCCGTCTATGGGATGTCAAAACAGGATATTAAAAAGCCAAATTAGATGATCATACTAAGGAGCTCTTGTCCATAAGGGACAGTTTATTAATTATTTAGGCTTAAGACAATTATTAAAATTCAAAAGTAAGCATTTTTAAAAAGTTTATGTAAAATACTAAAGATGATTACTTATAGAATATGAATTTTTCCTTATTAGATTATTTAATAGTAGAATAATCTTTAAATTACTTCTAATATTATCAATAATAAAGTAAAAAAATGTATTTTTGCTATAAAAAATATCTTTTACTATTTATGAATTAATATTACAAAATTATTGATTATCTTATTAAGACTAATCCTGTTTATAAATAGTAATAAATTAAGTAAATCTATCATATATTTTATAAAAGAATCTTATTTTAGATATATATTCATTAAGTAATTATATCAATCTTTATTTTTATCTCTTCATTCAATTTAATGCTTTGAGTTTAGATTATTTATTTAAAGTAGTATCATTTTATATTAATTGATAACCTTTTTATGATATTAAATAATTAATTCATATAAATGATTGAAAAGTAATAAAACTTAAAAAAATACTTCCTTATCTAGCTTAAGAAGTGAAGATGAAGAGTGAACCTAATAAAAAAAAATTAGAAAAAATAAATAGAAATTTATTGTAATGATAATTATAATATTTTTAATGAATAATCATCTTCACTTTTACTTAAATTCTTCCAAAATACAGCTACCTTTGGATTTCAATAAAGGTCTCAAATCAGTGCCTTGAGAATTAATGAATTCTCCTTTGAGAACTAGTGCTCCTTATACTTAGAATATTGTGGATTATGATATTAGGAGGGTAGTGATGTAATTGGAGGCTAAAAATATGATAGGGCATAAACAGTACCTTCGGTAATATGGCTATGCTATTGGAGTGGAATCTTAAATTATGCAATAAGATCCTTATATTTTTTTTTGGCGGATGAAATTTCTTTACCTTTCTTAACATCCCAAAGACGGATAGAGTCATCACTAGTACAAGAAGCTAATGTATTTCCATCAGGAGAGAAACAGACTGACTAGACCCAATTAGAATGACCATCTAATTTGGCTTTTTATTATCCCGTCTTGATATCCCAAAGACGGATAGACTTATCACTACTACCCAAAGCTAATGTATTTCCATCAAGAGAGAAACAAACTGAGTAGACATAACTAGTATGACCCTCTAATTATTATCCTGTTTTGACATCCCAAAGACGGATAGACTTATCACTACTACCAGAAGCTAATGTATTTCCATCAGGAGAGAAACAAACTGAGTAGACATAACTAGTATGACCCTCTAATTAGGTATTTTATTATCCTGTTTTGACATCCCAAAGACGGATAGACTTATCACTACTACCAGAAGCTAATGTATTTCCATCAGGAGAGAAACAGACTGATAAGATTCCATTAGAATGACCATCGAATTTGGTTTTTTATTATCCTGTTTTGACATCCCAAAGACGGATAGACTTATCACTACTACCAGAAGCTAATGTATTTCCATCAAGAGAGAAACAAACTGAGTAGACATAACTAGTATGACCATCTAATTTGGCTTTTTAATATCCTGTGTTGACATCCCATAAACGGATAGACATATCATTACTACCAGAAGCTAATGTGTTTCCATCAGGAGAAAAGCAGACTGAGTAGACATAACCATTATGACCATCTAATTTGGCTTTTTATTATCCTGTTTTGACATCCCAAAAACGGATAGACTTATCATTACTACCAGATACTAATGTATTTCCATCAGGAGAAAAACAGACTGAGTAGACAGTGCTAGTATGACCATCGAATAAGGCTGTTTATTCTCCTGTCTTGACATCCCATAGACGGATAGACTTATCACTACTACCAGAAGCTAATGTATTTCCATCAGGAGAGAAACAAACTAATAAAATTCCATTAGTATGACCATCTAATTTGGCTTTTTATTATCCTGTTTTAACATCCCATAAGCGGATAGACATATCAACACCTCCGTAAATACTACCACTACAAGATGCTAATGTTTTTCTGTCAGGAGAGAAACAAACTGATGAAACTGGTCCATCATGACCATCTAATTTATACAATTCATGTATTGAAATGTTCATCCATTTACAATTGAGTAGTTAAGCCCCATTCAAATTTATTCCGCAGATATTAACATTATCAAATTCAGATCCACTTAAGTTGCCTCTTGCAAAATTACCTCCAATTAAAGATGTATTCTTAATCCTGATATTTTCAAATGATTGATTCCTTAGATCTGTCTTCAAGCCTACTAATAAACTTAATCCATTCGATCCACATTGAATAAACTTATCATCTATGCTGGTAATGAGAACTAAAAACCTGAAAAAATTTATGATTCCCTTATTATCATACATCCTTTTTATTAGATCTTATCTTACCTTTTCATAAATTTCTGAAGAATAATCATCTTTATTAAATTTATGATCCTAAATATTTTTCAATACATTTGAGATTTTTGTTATTTACTTCTTGACTTCCTTTATATTCAATTGCTAGTTGATTAAAGATTAATAGAAATTTTGATGGTTTGACTTTGAAAGGAATCCAAGAATGTCTGAAACTTTTTCTCTTTTAAGTATTTCAAGAATTTTTTCATAGAGAGAATCATCTATTTGTTGGATGAAAGTTAGCATTTCAAAAAGATCATCTTTCATTTAATAATCTTCTTCTTCACTTGTAAATTATTTTAAATATTACTTTATTAATGATTGAACCCATTGGATTTCTTCTTTTGACTTTTCAATAAAAGCTTTTATTTGTTGGTCCCACCAATTCATGGTTTTATCTACTTCTATCATATAAGAATTCTTCGAAGCGCTCCAATCAATTACAGTTGTTCCTTCTACAATGTTGACTAATTTTTCAATATCTGTGTAGGAGGATCCAGCTAGATTTGTATTTTCATTGATGAGATTAAGGAATGATTAGTTTACCTTTTCAATCTAATCGTATACTTATTTGATTGATTGTGACAACTCATCCAAAATTTTCTTCATCATTTATTCGGTTTGAGTGAGCAAGGCTTTAAAGGCCACTCTCTATTTGGTTAACTCTTGGTTATCATCAAGCTTGGAGTCTTTCATTTTCTTTAGAGCCATATCTCGAAATTTTTTAATTGGAGTTGTATGTTTTTATATATCCACTCCATGATCATAGAGACATTCGACACATAGTTTTCTTTAGCATTGGCACTTATGTGGAGCTATACATATTAAAATGATTGGATTTTGTATGTGATAAGTGCAATTCATTATTTTTTATAATGAATTTCTATTACTCTTACTTTAACTTATATACTGCAAAATCGATAATAGTATCTTGTGCATTTCTTTAAAATAGAAGTTAGGACTTTGTATATATTTGGAATTGATTGTAGTAGATGTTAATTATGCTATTGAGAATTCATTTCAATATCTGCATTACTTGATTTTTTATTAATATGGAATATTGTTATTTTTAGATGAAAATTTCAATTTATACAAAAATTGAATTAATTAATTAATTTTTCTTTTTTAATTCTAATTTTTCGGCTTAATGTTTGAAGACTGAAATATGAAAAAGTTAATAATAATTTTTAAGATTAATCCTACTTTTAAACAGTAATAAATTAAGTCATATATTATGTGTTAAATTTGTTTCCTTTAAGTTATTATTTTGATCTTTATTTTAAACTCTTCATCTACTGTTCTCTGTTTACATTATTAATTAAAAGTAGTATTATATTAATTTAAATCTCTATCAAGCAAAATTTATATCATTTTTTATGAGAATCCCTACACTAAATTGATCTTATATTTAAACAATATATAAAAATGAATTGTGTCAATCACTTAAATGCAAAAAAATTTTGAAAAATTAGAACTTACCTTGATCACTTTTACTTAAAGTCTTCTAATAAGCAACTACCTTTTTAATTAAATAATGTCTTTATATCTATACCTCATTGATTTATAAACTCTCCTCTCAAAATTAGTGCTCCATATGCTTAAAATATGGGCTATTAGGATATCAGAAGGGTAGTGATGTAATTGGAGGCTAAAAATATTAAAAAAATTAATAGTACCTTCTATAATTGAGAATTTTTTTAGGGTGCAATCTTAAATTATGCAAGAATATCTTTGTAGTTTTTATCAGAGGATTTAATTTCTTATCCTGTCTTTACATCCCATAGACGGATAGACTTATCATAACTACCAGAAGCTAATGTATTTCCATCAGGAGAGAAATAGACTGACATAACATAACTAGTATGACCATATTAAAATTTTGGGAAAAATATGAATTTCGCTTATTTTGTTTAGAATAATTTTTTGCGCTTGAGTACAAAAGAATCAGATTCACAATTAAATTTTTGAGTTAAGTTTGTACAGTAAGGAAAAAAAAATTGTTTTAATTTTTGATAAGGCAGGAGTGCAGCTAGGAGGATGAAAAGTAGTGGAATGATAGAGAATGATGAGCTTACCCTCTCCAATACTTTCAAGCATATAGAAGCATTTTTTGGTACCTATGGCATAAGTCACAAATTAGATTAGTGGTGGTTTCAACGAGTGGGTGCTTTTTATTCGGCATAATTATAGTCATGAAGTGCATTGTGGTATATGCTCTTCTATTAATGTTAATTAGTAGGATATAATCATAATGACACTGGAAATTAAAAGCACGGAATACATAGATAATGGGGAAATAT